GGGGTATATGCTGCAGGGAGGTGAATAGGGAGCCTGGAATGGTCCTGATTCTTATTGGTGAAGCCACGAGAGATAATAAATTCTTGACTCTCTACCATGGCTTTTCATAAGATACACGTGGGGATCCATGTCTTTTTTGTTGGAGCATCTTAAAAGGTGTTGATTTTTCATCTGTATTGCTTAACAAAAATGACTAATGAAATGTATGTTGAATTATTTCTTAGCATAACAAGATGAATTATGTTTTCTTTTTTCTTGCAAACAGGTGATCTGTTGTCTAGAAGGGGCAAGGATTGGCATACAATATGAGACTTTTTTTGCTGGTAAGTGTTGACAGTGTCAGCTCTCTCTCCATCTCTCTAACAATAATCATGTTGAAGATTGCAATATGCAGAAGATATCTATAAGGAAGGTAAAGAAAGAGGAAGAAGGAGAGGCAAAACAGAAAAGAAAGAAAAAGAGGAAGAAGGCAAAGCTTCTTCAAAATGATAGCATGCAACCCTCTCTTTCCTATACAAAACTGCTAAACATTAAGACCATCCCCTTACTACACAGTTAGGTTGTGACAATAAAAAATTCAAGTCCACTCAATACAATATAAGTCACAAGCTAATTATAGAAAAATAATGTCTTCCCACAAGCAGTGCCAATGCAATTCAAGGAAATCCCCTTGCATCCCCAAGATTCTCCAGCAACAACCTTCCACAACTCACTGCAGTGTTCCCTTCTTCACAACTGACTTTTGGTTGAACCAACTTGATTACACCTTTGAAAGTGTTGATAGATGCCTGTTTATGGACACTTTCATCTTTTTTTGTTTTATTCTAATCTAGGTATTTGTGTAATCTTTTACATTAGTATAAAACCTAATGAAGTAACTCATGGTGGAATTAAATGGCTTTCTTGTTGTTGTTGTTGTTGTTCTTCTTCTTCTCTAAATGGCATTCCATCGCAATTTACACTTACAACTTGGTATCAGAGCAATATTCTGATCAAGAAATGGCTGCTGCACATCTTTCAGACTGCTGATGTCAGCATACTGCTTGGTTGGCCATTGCCAAGAACATGGAAACCCTTGAATCTGGTGAAGCTCAATTTTAGATATGTTTTGGTACAGTTTTTATCTTGTTTTGAAGCTGTTATGATATTTTTAAGGATTTTCTCTTGAAAAAATTGAAAAAAACAAGATCCAGATCGACACTAAACCTTTACTATGCTGTGTAACTGTGAGTCTTACCTAGTTTACTATTTCTAGACTTGAAGGTAGTAACTTCTTGGAGTGGACATAGTAGGTGAAGCTCTTTGTTGGAGGTCATTGGATGATGGGATCTTATGGGCAGAGAGAAGAAACCCTGGCTTGATGATCCCTCTTTTCCTATGTGGAAGCAGCAGGATCAATGGTAAGAATACTGCCGTGGTATATAATTTGCGTAGAGCCGTAGAGAGGTGAGCAGTATAAAATAGGGTGTTAGGAGAGAAGTTTGTCGCTATGTACTTTTCTTCTGTTTATACCTTGTTGCAATAAATAGACCACTTGGTGGCTATTGGGAGGAGAGATCCATTTGATGGTGAACAATATAGAAAGCACAAAGTATATGGAGATGTATTAGGGCAGCAGTTTGTGGGTCTCTAAGGGAAGAAAGAAATTTATGATTTTTCTCAGAAAAGGAGAGAACTATTGAAAACTTATTGGAATTGATACACTTAAGAGTGGTATACTGGCTGACATCCTTGGACTTATTTTCAGACTTCTCCTTAGTGACTTGCTGAGGAATTGGAAGGAGATAGCTAACTCTGCCAAGGTCAAAAGCGTTTGTAATCCCTCTTGTACCCCTCCTCTCACTGGGTTTATAAAACTAAAATTTGATGGCAGCAGCATTAGAAACCCAGGACTGTCTGGTATTGGTGGAGTTTTCAGGAATGAGGAGGGGCTTGTTTTAGCCATGTTCTCAGGTCCTATTGGGGAAGGAGACTCTCTTAGGGTTGAGATCCTTGCAGCCCTGGAAGGTGCCCAAAGAGCAAGGGAGTTGAACATCAGAAGACTAGTTATTGAGGGTGACTCAGAGGTGGTGGAGAGATGGCATAGGGAAGGCAGCTTGGGTATGTGGAATTACAACAATGAAAAGAAAAAACTTGAGTGGCTGACTAGGGACAGTGAGGTTAAATACAGTTGGGTAAAGAGAACTGCTAATTCACTTGTTGGCGGGTTATCCAAGCAAGGGGTGAATAGGGGTTCCTTTGTTTGGGCTCGTTTCTAAATTTGTTTCTTTTTTACGCTGTTGGGGGAGTTACAACAATTTACCTCCCTCTCTGTTTTGTAATTAAAGCTTTACTGTTTTAATAAAATTTGCTGTTATTGATCATAAAAAAAAGAGAAAAAGGAAAAACACAGTGTTTGGCTTTTTAGCTGGATCCAACTCTGATTTTGACTTCACGAGACAACATATTTTAAGCAATGATGTTTCTTATGCTTGCCATGGTGACAGGTGATGTACCTGGGAACTTTGCCTTGACCACTACTAATCTAAAGCAAAGTGGCAGCTCTAGAGGTACATAGGTGAGGGGGTGGATGATCTAGTGTGTCAGGGTTAGAACCTATTATAAGGACTATAGGGCTAGGGGGGCCTGCCTGCCCGGGCCTGAGCCTGACTCCGGGCCTATGATATGTGCATAAAATTTATTTTATACTATATATAATATAAAATGTTGGGATAAGGCTTGGGTGATAATGAAATGGTGATTATTTAAAATAAAATATTACATAATATGTATTTTTGTTGTCATTTTATAATATTTATATATAAAATATAAAATATAACATAAATAACATATATACATATGTATAAATAATATATGTAAATCTTGGGTCCCAAGCTGGGAACTTCTGGGCTGGGGCAGGCCAGGCTGAAAATGATCACTCCTTATTGATTATTGCGAGAAGCTGAAACACACCTGGGGGTGATGTTGGAAGCTACAACTTGAGTTGAAACCAGAAAAGCTTGAGGAAAACAAAGAAGAACAATGCTCTTGTGGTTCTCAATATTGATACAGGCCGATATGCCCCAACTGACGAATCGGCCTGTATCATTGGGTGCTTTTCTTTTTTCTTGTTTTTTTAAACCGGTTCAGGGAGGTTGGTTTAAGGCCCTGAAATACCTATTGTAGGGGTGTATTGGAGGGTCACCAATACGATACGTATTGGCTGATATGCCCCTATATGTTGTGAAATTCAAATCCTTGACTATAGCAATGTGGATGTCTTGGCAGCCAAGACTTAAGCTTCTCCCCTTAAGTCTATTCTACATGTTCCCCAGCTTCACAATAATCTTTTATCTGTAAGTTCCCTTACAAAATCCTTTCTCCATTGCATGACCTTTTATCCCGATCATTGTGTTTTTTCAGGGCTTTAACATTGGGGTGATGATTAGAAGTGGTTGGGAGGTTAATGATGTATATCTTTTGATCTAAGCACCAAGATACTTGTTGATTTGCCCTTCTCACAGCGATCATGATTATGAGTCCTTTAGCCCAATAAAATTATGGCATAGTCACCTTTGCCAGGTTTCTTTTCCTTCTTTGAAGTCCATGTTTCCACATTTTTTTCAGTTAGTGTTTGTGTCCACACTTAAGTATTCAAAGTATTATAGAGTGAATTATTTTCGAAGTAATAAAAAATATTCTGTTCCTTTCCATCTTGTACATATTGATGTGTGGGGCCCTTATTCTATGGCCTACATGGGCGGTTACAAATATTTTATATTCACCTGCTTACACAGGTAGAGAAGTTCCTCAAGTCATTAAGAATTTATAACCTAGTGGAAATGCAATTTGAAAAAAAAAGGATTAAAATATTTAGATCTTACGATGCCAAGGAGTATTTTGAAAAAACAAAACTGACATTATTGTTGGAAGAGAAAAGGGTAATTCATCAGTTTTCTTGTGTGGCTCCCTCTCTACAAAATGGTGTAGTTGAGAAAAAAATAGACATGTGGTTAAAGTTGTTAGGGAATTAATTTTTCAGATGAATGTTTCCATCTGTTTTTGTGGAGATGCTTTTATTATTTCAGTCAATTACAACAAAAAAAAATGAAAGTTATTACTGCAGTCTACTTGATTAATAGATTGCCTTCCAGTGTGCTCCAATTGAAGTCCCCATATTTAGCTATTTTACAATGATGACTCATCCTTTAAACTTGCATTCCCGGTCATTGGCTGTGTTTACTTTTCTCATGATTTAAATCTGTCCTGAATTAAATTTGATCTGAAAGCAACAAGTGTGCCTTCCTTGGGTACTTCACTACTAAATGGGGTTTAAGTGTCTTCATCCTGCCTCTAGTGAGTGAATGGTATCTAAGGATGTTACTTATTCTGAGGCCTCGTTCGTTTACCACTATCTTACTTGGGTAAATTCACTTACCCAGGTAAGTGTTTCCTAGGTAAGTTTATTTACCCATGTTCTTTTTGTTGAAATTTACCCAAGTAAATGAGGCACTCCAACTTACCCATGTTCTTTTGTCTCACCAACTTTCCTGGGTAAGAGGCCCATATATTACACTATTGCCAACATTACCCTTTTGGCCTAAATGATTTTTTTTTTTGGAGGTTTTGTTTTATAAACCTGTGTAATAGGTCCATGCCATATCAAAAGGAACCCAATCAATCACAAATCAACACTAGACACAGCCCTATGTGTCCATTACCGTTTGCCCCATCGAAATTGAGTTTCAACTCATTCACATTTGGCTTGGTCCAAATTACCATCCGATGACCATCAACATATAGATTATAAAACCCCACTTACACGTAGAGAGTGAGTGAAAATAGGGCTGAATCCATGGAAAACTCTCAGAATGAATGCATTAAATAATGAAGAAAGAGTAGATGGTCAAAGGGAAATAAAGGGAACTCAAGAAGAATCCTTATAAAGTGAGCAAATCATGTAAGTTTGCTTTCTTAATACCACTAATCATAGAAAGATCTGAACTTCAAAACAAACTAGAGGTTTATCCTGTCAAATCAATAAGTAAAACTTGCTATGTTAAAACAAAAAAAGAAGAAGAAAAGATAATATATTTTTGTTTTCTATTTATTAACTATATGTTTTATGATAATCAAAATACTAAAAACGACAACTATTGTTCTATTGAGTTACTAATCAGAGAGGAGGTAAGAGAAAATGTATGCATTTCTAAAGTCAGGTGGTAGGCTAAAAAAGTATTCAACCTCTCCCATGTCACTTATTAACTTTTTACTCACTTTGATCATCTCATCTGAACTTAAACCAGGGATCTTCTTTATCTCTTCAAACACTTTCATTCTCATC